CCCCATGAGCTGCAGCATGCAGGTTTCCCGGTCCTTCACTGTCTCCCGGAGCTTGCTCAAACTCAAGTCCACTGAGTTGGTGATGCCATCCAACCATCTCGTTCTCTGTCGTTCCCTTCTCCTGTCCTCAACCTTTCCCAGCATCAAGGTCTTTTCCAATGAGTGAGTTCTCGCATCATGTGGCCAAAGTAATGGAGCTTTAGCCTCAGCATCAGTCCCTCCAATGAATATTCAGGATTAATTTCCTTTAGGATTGACTGCTTAGATAACCTTGCAGTCCAAGGGACTCTCAAAAGTCTTCTCCAACTCCACAGTTCAAAAGCATTAATTCCTTGGCTGCTGCTGCTGCTAAGTCGCTTCAGCTGTGTCCGATTCTGTGTCCGACCCCCATAGACAGCAGCCCACCAGGCTGCCCCATCCCTGGGATTCTCCAAGCAAGAACACTGGAGTGGGTTGCCACTTCCTTCTCCAATGCATGAAGGTGAAAAGAGAAAGTGAAGTTGCTCAGTCGTGTCTGACTCTTAGCGACCCCATGGACTGCAGCCTACCAGGCTCCTCCATCCATGGGATTTTCCAGGCGAGAGTACTGGAGTGGGTCACCATTGCCTTCTCTGAATTCCTTGGTATTCAGCCTTATTTATAGCCCAACTATCACATCCATACATGACTACTGGAAAAATCATAGCATCATTATATGAAGTTTTGGCAGCAAAGTAATGTCTCTGTTTTTTAATCTGCTGTCTATGTTGGTCATAGTTTTTCTTCCAAGGAGCAAGCATCTTTGAATTTCATGGCTGCAGTCACCATCTGCAGTAATTTTGGAGCCCAAGAAAATAAAGTCTGTCACTGTTTCCCCATCTATTTGCCATGAAGTGATGGGACTGGATGCCATTATCTTAGCTTTTTGAATGTTAAGTTTTAAGCCAGTTTTTTCACTTTCAAACTCTTTCATTTTCATCAAGAGGCTCTTTAGTTCCTCTTTGCTTTCTGCTGTAAGGGTGGTATCATTTGCGTATCTGAGGTTATTGATATTTCTCCTGGCAATCTTGATTCCAGCTTGTGCATCCTCCAGCCCAGCATTTCTCACGATGTACTCTGCATATAAGTTAAATAAGCAGGGTGACAATATACAGCCTTGACGTACTCCTTTCCCTATTTGGAACCAGTCTATTGTTCCATGCCCGGTTCTCACTGTTGCTTCTTGACCGGCATACAGGTTTCTCAAAAGGCAGGTCAGGTGGTCTGGTATTCCCATCTCTTTCAGAATTTTCCACAGTTTGTTGTAATCTACACAGTCAAAGGCATTAGCACAGTCAACGAAGCAGATGTTTTTCCCTTGCTTTTTCTAGGATCCAACAGATGTTGGCAATTTGATCTCTGGTTCTTTTGCCTTTTAGAAATCCAGCTTGAACATATGGAAGTTCTCGGTTCACGTGCTGTTGAAGTCTAACTTGGAGGATTTTGAACATGACCTTGCTGCCATGTGAAATGAGTGCGGTTATGGAGCAGTTCGAACATTCTTTGGTATTGCCCATTGTTGGTACTGGAATGAAAACTGATCTTTTCCAATCCTGTGGCCACTGCTGAGATTTCCAAATTTGCTCTCATTTTGAGTGCAGCACTGTCACAACATCATCTTTTAGGATTTGAAGTAGCTCAGCTGGAATTCCATCACCTCCACTAGCTTTGCTCCTAGTGAGGCTTCCTAAGGCCCACTTGATGTCGCACTTCAGGATGTCTGGCTCTAGGTGAGTGATCACACCATCGTGGTAATCAGGGTCATTAGACATTTTTTGTACAGTTCCTCAGTGTATTCTCGCCACCTCTTCTTAGCACCTTCTGCTTCTGTTAGGACCATACCGTTTCTGTCCTTTGTTGTGCCCATCTTTGCATGAAATGTTCCCTTGGTATCTCTAACTTTCTTGAAGAGATCTCTAGTTTTTCCCATTCTATTATTTTCCTCTATTTCTTTGCATTGATCACTTAGCAAGGCTTTATTCTTGCTAATATTTGGAACTCTGCATTCAGAAGGGTATATCTTTGCTTTTCTCCTTTGCCTTTCACTTCTCTTCTTTTCTCAGCTATTTGTAAGGCCTGCTCAGACGACCATTTTGCTTTTTTGCATTTTTTTCTTCTTGGGGAAGGTTTTCATAGCTGCCTCCTATACAATGCATGAACCCTGGTCCATAGTTCTTCAGGTACTCTGTCTATCAGATCTAATCCCTTGAATCTATTTGTCACTTTCACTGTATAATCAAAAGGGATTTGACTTAGGTCATACCTGAATGGCCTAGTGGTTTTCCCTACTTTCTTCAATTTAAGTCTGAATTTTGTAATAAGGAGTTCATGATCTGAGCCACAGTCAGCTCCCGGTCTTGTTTTTGCTGACTGTATAGAGCTTCTCCATCCTCGGCTGCAAAAAATATAATCAATCTGATTTCAGTATTGACCATTTGGTGACGTCCATGTGTAGAGTCATCTTCTGTGTTGTTGGAAGACTGTGTCTGCTATGACCAGTGCGTTGTCTTGTAAAACTGTTAGCCTTTGCCCTGCTACATTTTGTACTCCAAGGCCAAACTTGCCTGTTACTCCAGGTATCCCGTGACTTCCTACTTTTGCATTCCGGTCCTCTATGATGAAAAGGACATCTTTTTTTGGTATAACTGGCAAGTAACTTCTGCTATCTTGGAGGTAACTCGCTGGCTACAGTCCATGGGGTCACAAAAGAGTTAGACCCAACTTAGTGAGTGAACAACAACAATAATATGAGAATAATTCCCCCTGTTCCAATAAAGCCTCTTCTATCACTAGGAAAGTGATCATATCCTGGACATTCAAAGTCGCAAAATCTGAACTGAAGCTAACCCAGCTTCACTAAAGCAGGCGAAAGAGAGCCTCAAGGACTCTTCCCCGTAAAACACTGGTTGAAACGAACAGCAGATGCTAACATCCAGGCAGGCTGGCCACTGCTCTCCTGATCCCAAAACCTACCCACTGTCAAACTAGAAATATAAACTTAGGTCAGAATTTCTTCTTTTTTCACTACTCTGTCTACCAATGTACTTATTTTTAGCTGTAAAAACTTCACCAATCTAGAGGAATATACAAACTACAAAACTTTCATAGACTCTCACACAAAGTTTTACAAATAAGCAGTCAGAATACCAATATGTAATAACCCATTTAAAAGGTAGAGAAGTCAATTTTTCAAAATTAAACTCAAATTAACACAATTTATTCACCCATATATAATGCACATTATGCTTCTAATAGGCTCCCCATAAATCAAGTTCTAATATGCAATCCAGATCCAGAAATAGAGTCTCCCTTCTACTGTCTTGTGGAATCAAATAAAATTTTACAAGTAGACTAAAACAATGGGCAAATGAAAACATGCAGCTCTCCCGAGATAAAGGGAGACCTCTAGAGGCAAAAGCTGAAAATTGGGACTTTTCCCCATATCCTTAGGCATCTTAGAGCCACATAAAGAAGTCTTAAAATTCCTTCACTGAGCAATTATTCTCTATGCAGTTTGTAAATTCATTTTATTTTTAACCTATTATTTCTCATCTAAAATGACAATGTTCCCCAAATCCCAGGCGGTGGCTGTTCCATCACTAAGTCGTATCCGACCCTTTGCGACCCCATGGACTCTTGCCCAACTAAATTTCATTCACACACTTACTTTAAATCTTATTCAATCTGTTGGTTCTGTTGCAAAGTGGTAAAGAAAAATGGGCATGAGTTAAACTGATTAGAGAGACAGAGATAACATTAATGTGCTTCACACCAGAGTCTAAGATAATCACATACACAGAAAGATCTAAGATCTTCAAAAGGTTAAGGCAAAACAAACTATACTTATTTAATGAGAAGTTTTCTTATAAAATGTTTACTGACTTGACCGATCAGATCAGAAAGATCTCTAGCTTATCCCTCTGTAGTGGTCACTAACTCAAATGCCCTCAGGCGTGCCCCCCCCAAAAAAACCCCCAAAAAACAGGCTCCAGGGCTGGTTGGAAAAGGGAAAAAAATAAAAGACTAGCGAGAGAAAACCATCAGGCAAGGGGTAGAGATGGTGAGAGACTGGAGAACCAACCCCAGACTGTCCCACCACAGGTGGCTCAGACGGTAAAGAACTCGCCTCCAATGCAGGAGACCTGGGTTCAATCCCTGAGTTGGGAAGATCCCCTGGAGCAGGAAATGGCAACCCATTCCAGTATCCTTGCCTGTAGAATTCCATGGACAGAGGAGCCTGGTAGGCTACAGTCCATGGGGTCACAAAGAGTCGAACACAACTTAGCAACTAAACCACCACCAGACTAAAGGCATTCCCTTTTTCCCCCTCTTAGTGCTAAACTGGCCAAACTATCCACCCTCTCAAGCTGACCTCACCATCATTTGCTACACTGTCTACAGATTTTGTGAACTTTCTCCCTTAATGCAAAATACTAAAGTAATACAAATTATTGGGTTGGCCAAAAGGTTCATACAGGTTTTGGCCAACCCAATAAAAAAAACAAAAAAGGAAAACAAAATGTGTACTTGTATAGAAAATGCCTGGAGGAATATTTTCCAAGGTGTTAACAATAGCTATCTGGTGATGACGGGATTATGAATGTTTTAATTTTCTTATTTTTGTTACTATATTGATTTTCTAATGAGAAGAGAGGAAAGTAACTTAATTTTAAATGAGTAGCCTCAAAAGCCAATGCTTGCCTGACAGAGTCCTTACCACTCTGTAACTGAGAATAAGAGGCTGCAAGACTAACAAGAAGCCAGAACTGAGTATCACATTAATCAAGGAAAAATATTTAGTTGCCACATACCATCACTGTGTTGTGTTCAAGCATCATTTATTTTTAAATAAGAAAGGAAGATTACCTTTTGTTTAAATAACAAAAGGCTATCTTTGATAAATGAGGCAACTGAATTAAAATGTCAAAGTTGAGGCCAATTAAACTATCCTCCAACTCTCCCCTAACTTCATACAGCCTTACCATAAAGATCAGGTCCATGAGGAGTAAAGACATTATACAAAACGATGTTGAGTGGTGCAACCACCAGCTTCCCGTAATAGTAGCTGTCAATGACCACCACAGGCACCTAAAACAGAGCAGAAAACAAAGCAATTACAGAGTTTTGCTCTGGAAGCATCCTCACAATGCTAACAGTATAGATTTCAGAATGAAAAACAGAATGAACTCCTAACGTTCTCTTTTCCATCCACACCACAGGTTGCTTTCGTTACGACGTTAGAACAAAATAAGATAAAAAGACAACTCACCAGAAACAGCATTAGAGCAACCAATGACCAATGAAGGAAACTCTTCCACCTGTGTTTCATGATCAGCAGATCAAAGGCAATAGGTAAACTATTTAACAGAGAAACAGAAAGTGGGGAGTTAAATACTCAGAGAACACAGACTCAAACAGGACAGATTCACACATAACTCATGCTGAATTGAGAATCAAATATCGCCAGCAATTATTGTGAGGGAAGAAAACTGGTACATGAAAGGATGTCTTCTCAAAAATAAAAATGTGATCTCTTCACAGGACTCATCAGAGGATGATGCATTCCACAGTGCACAAGAAATACAAATACTCAGCTTCGGAGTGAGCTCTATTTTATACATATTTATGTGCAGTGGGCATTTACAATATATTAATCATAACTAACCTACCCTATTGTCCTACTCCCACCCTGCCAAATAAATACTTATTTCTCCTTTCCATGATTTATTAACACTTTAGTAAAAAAGTAATATCACACACTTTCACTTCAATTCTGATATATCCCTTTCCAATATGTAATATTGTTTCAATATGCAATATTTGCCCTTCTTCCTTTCACTTGACTTTCTCAAGCAAGGACCATATGTGCATTGCCTTCACTATTTCTTCCTTAAGGCCTAACACCAAGTTATTAAGACTGATCTGAGGTCACCAGGAATTTCCTCTCTGCCAGACCCAGCATCTTTCCACAACCACATCTCCCTTGTCTTTCTGTTGCACTTGACACAAAGCATCCGTTCCTTCCTCTTTAGACTCCCTGGCTCCGATGTTCTTTTCTGGGCGCTTCCTAGTCCTCCTTTCAGGCTTTTTTCCTATCCCATGGTGTGCTTTACCATGGCCCTGGCTCCCAAAGGCAAGGTTCTACTTTTCTCTCTCTACACTCATCTTCCCAGCAGGTGCTTCAACTCCTGTTCCATGAACAATCACCTTCATATTCATGACTTCGTAATCTAGGACACTAGTCAGAGCCTTTACCATGCTCCAATCACAATGAATTCCCTCCCACACCAATCTATTTACTTACACCAAATCTACCCAGTGTCAGCTATAGGCGCTGCTCCTGCCTCCTCCACGAGATCTCTGCATTTACATGGCACTATCATCACTATCATCTATTTGGCCATGTCATGTGGACATCTCTCTATGATTTGAAATTCCACCTTTTATTAACTAAATATTGCATTAACATTCCATTTTTTTAAGATTTTTTTTCCTCCCCAACTAGTTACATTTCCATGAAAATGCTAGCTGCTCAGTTGTGTCCGACTCTGCGACACCATGGACTTTTGTCCTCCAGGCTCCTTCTGTTCATGGGATTCTCCAGGCGAGAATACTAAAGTGGGTTGCCATTCCCTTCTCCAGGGGATCTTCCCGATCCAGGGATCGAACCCGGTCTCCTGCACTGCAGGCACATTCTCTACCATCTGAAACACCAGCTACATTTCCATAGCAGCTGCATTTCTCCTTTGATAAGTCAATAAATGAGAGCACAATGCTGAGTGATTAACTGTGATCCCGAAATCACTTATCAAAAGGCAGACTAATCAAAACACCCAAACCCAGAGGTATTTGAGGAACTCATAAAGTTGAATGTAGATCCAGTAAAGAGGAAAAGGAATGGAGAAACTGCAATGAGGAGGATGGAGATGTAAAAAAGAGGAAACCGTAAGGCCTTGTCAGTCACATTAAAGTCTGGACACCATCACTAGAAAGGAATGAAGTACTGATACATGTCATAACATGGATAACTGTTGGAAACATGTTAAGTAAAAGAAGCCAGACACAGAAGACAATACTGTATGATTCTATTTATATAAAATCTCCAGAACAGGCACATGAAGTAGATTAACGGATGTCAACCTAGACAGCATATTAAAAAGCAGAGACATTACTTAGCCAACAAAGATCCATCTAGTCAAAGCTATGGTTTTTCCAGTAGTCATGTATGGATGTGAGAGTTGGACTATAAAGAAAGTTGAGCACTGAAGAACTGATGCTTTTGAACTGTGGTGTTGGAGAAGACTCTTGAGAGTCCCTCAGACAGCAAGGAGATCCAACCAGTCCATCCTAAAGGAAATCAGTCCTGAATATTCATTGAAAGGACTGATACTGAAGCTGAGACTCCAATACTTTGGCCACCTGATGCAAAGAACTGACTCATTGGAAAAGTCCCTGATGCCGGGAAAGATTGAGGGCAAGAGGAGAAGGGGAAGACAGAGGACAAGATGGTTGGATAGTATCACTGATTCCAAGGACATGAGTTTGAATAAACTCCAGGAGCTGGTGATGGACAGGGAGGCCTGGCATGCTACAGTCCATGGGGTTGCAAAGAGTTGGACATGACTGAGAAACTGAACTGAAGACTGGGGGGTTTGGGGACAAAAGGAAGTTACTGCTAAAGGGTACAGGTTTCTTTTAGGGATATGAATGTTCTAAAATTGACTCTGGTGATGGCTGTATCACTGTAAAAAAAAACCATTGAACTACACATGTTAAGTGAGTGAATTATATGTTATATTACATATAAGGTATATTACTGAATTACATCTCAGTAAAGCTGTTTAAAAAAATGTTTGGATACCACAGAGCAGGGATTGGCCAACTTTTTATTTAAGGGACCTGATAGAGTTAAATAAGCAGGGTGACAATATACAGCCTTGATGTACTCCTTTCCCTATTTGGAACCAGTCTGTTTTTCCATGTCCAGTTCTAACTGTTGCTTCCTGACCTGCATACAGATTTCTCAAGAGGCAGGTCAGGTGGTCTGGTATTGCAATCTCTTTCAGAATTTTCCACAGTTTATTGTGATCCACACAGTCAAAGGCTTTGGCATAGTCAACAAAGCAAGAAACAGACATTTTTCTGGAACTCTCTTGCTTTTCGATGATCCAGCGAATGTTGGCAATTTGATCTCTGGTTCCTCTGTCTTTTCTAAAACCAGCTTGAACATCTGGAAGTTCACGGTTCATGTGTTGAAGCCTGGCTTAGAGGATTTTGAGCATTACTTTGCTAATGTGTGAGATGAGTACAATTGTGCAGTAGTTTGAACATTCTTTGGCATTGCCTTTCTTTGGGATTGGAATGAAAACTGACCTTTTCCAGTCCTGTGACCACTGGTGAGTTTTCCAAATTTGCTGGCATATCGAGTGCAGCACTTTCACAGCATCATCTTTCAGGATTTGAAATAGCTCACCTGGAATTCCATCACCTCCACTAGCTTTGTTCATAGTGATACTTCCTTGTCACCCTGCTTATTTAACTTATATGCACAGTACATCATGAGAAACACTGGGCTGGATGAAGCACAAGCTGGAATCAAGACAGCTGGGAGAAATATCAATAACTTCAGATATGCAGATGACAACACCCATATGGCAGAAAGCAAAGAACTAAAGAGCCTCTTGATGAAAGTGAAAGAGGAGAGTGAAAAAGTTGGCTTAAAGCTCAACATTCAGAAAACTAAGATCATGGCATCCGGTTCCATCACTTCATGGCAAATAGATGGGGAAACAGTGGAAACAGTGGCTGACTTTATTTTTGGGGGCTCCAAAATTACTGCAGATGGTGATTGCAGCCATGAAATTAAAAGATGCTTACTCCTTGGAAGGAAAGTTATGACCAATCTAGACAGCAGAGACATTAAAAAGCAGAGACATTACTTTGTCAACAAAGGTCCATCTAGTCAAGGCTATGGTATTTCCAGTAGTCATGTATGGATGTGAGAGTTGGACTATAAAAAAGCTGAGCACCGAAGAATTGATGCTTTTGAACTGTGGTGTTGGAGAAGACTCTTGAGAGTCCCATGGACTGCAAGGAGATCCAACCAGTCCATCCGAAAGGAAATCAGTCCTGGGTGTTCATTGGTAGGACTGATGTTGAAGCTGAAACTCCCAATATTTTGGCCACCTGATCTGAAGAGCTGACTTATTTGAAAAGACCCTGAAGTTGGGAAAGATTGAAGGAAGGAAGAGAAGGGGACAACAGAGGATGAGATGGTTGGATGGCATCATTGACTCAATGGACGTGAGTTTGGGTGAACTCTGGGAGTTGGTGATGGATAGGGAGGCCTGGCGTGCTGTCGTTCATGGGGTCACAAAGAGTTGGACATGACTGAGCGACTGAACTGAACTGATTCTCTGACTTCATAACTCCCTTTAAAAAATTTATTCTATAGATAAATTTCCATAAGACATGTACAAGAATGTTCACTAAATTATTGTGTATAATAGCAAAAAAGAAACTGAAAACCAAATGCCTACCAACAAAGCAATGGTTAAATAAATTATGGACAGCCATACAATAATGGAATGCTATTGCCAAAATCAGACTTAAATTGAAGAAAGTAGGGAAAACCACTAGACCATTCAGGTATGACCTAAATCAAATCCCTTACAATTATACAGTGGAAGTGACAAATAGATTCAAGGGATTAGATCTGATAGAGTGCCTGAAGAACTATGGACAAAGGTTTGTGACATTGTACAGGAGGCAGGGATCAAGACCATCCCCAAGGAAAAGAAATGCAAAAAGGCAAAATTGTTGTCTGAGGAGGCTTTACAAATAGCTGTGAATAGAAGAGAAGTGAAAGGCAGAGGAGAAAAGGGAAGATACCCATTTGAATGCAGAATTCCAAAGAATAGCAAGGAGAGATAAGAAAGCCTTCCTCAGTGATCAATGCAAATAAATGGAGGAAAACAATAGAAGGGGAAAGACTAGAGACCTCTTCAAGAAAATCAGAGATACCAAGGGAACATTTCATGCAAAGACAGGCTCAATAAAAGACAGAAATGGCATGGACCTAACAGAAGCAGAAGATATTAAGAAGAGGTGGCAAGAATACACAGAACTGTACAAAAATGTACTTCACGACCCAGATAATCATGATGGTGTGATTACCAATCTAGAGCCAGACATGCTGGAATGTGAAGTCAAGCGGGCCTTATGAAGCATCACTATGAACAAAGCTAGTGGAGGTGACGGAATTCCAGGTGAGCTATTTCAAATCCTAAAAGATGATGCTGTGAAAGTGCTGCACTCAATATGCCAGCAAATTTGGAAAACACAGCAGTGGCCACAGGACTGGAAAAGGTCAGTTTTCATTCCAATCCCAAAGAAAGGCAATGCCAAAGAATGCTCAAACTACTGCACAACTGCATTCACTTCACACACTAGTAAAGTAATGCTCAAAATTCTCCAAGCCAGGCTTCAACAGTATGTGAATGGTGAACTTCCAGATGTTCAACCTAGATTTAGGAAAGGCAGAGGAGTCAGAGATCAAATTGCCAACATCCGCTGGATCATCAAAAAAGCAAGAGAGTTTCAGAAAATATCTACTTCTGCTTTATTGACTATGCCAAAGCCTTTGACTGTGTGGATCACAACAAACTGTGAAAAATTCTGAAAGAGATGGGAATACCAGACCACCTGATTTGCCTCTTGAGAAACCTGTATGCAGGTCAGGAAGCAACAGAACTGGACATGGAACAAGACTGGTTCCAAATAGGGAAAGAAGTATGTCAAGGCTGTGTATTGTAACCCTGCTTATTTAATTTATATGCAGAGTACATCATGAGAAATGCTAGGCTGGATGAAGCAGAAACTGGAGTCAAGATTTCTGGGAGGAATATCAATAACCTCAGATACGCAGATGACACCACCCTTATGGCAGAAAGTGGAGAAGATCTAAAGACCTTCTTGATGAAAGTGAAAGAGGAGAGTGAAAAAGTTGGCTTAGAACTCAACATTCAGAAAACGAAGATCATGGCATCTGGTCCCATCACTTCATGGCAAATAGATGGGGAAACAGTGGAAACAGTGACAGACTTTATTCTGGGGGGCTCCAAAATCACTGCAGATGGTGACTGCACCCATGAAATTAAAAGACACTTGCTCTTTGGAAGAAAAGCTATGACGAATCTAGACAGCATATTAAAAAGTAGAGACACTACTTTTCTGACAAAGGTCCATCTAGTCAAAGCTATGGTTTGTCCAGTAGTCACGTATGGATGTGAGAGTTGGACTATAAGGAAAGCTGAGCGCCAAAGAACTGATGCTTTTGAACTGTGGTGTTGGAGAAGACTCTTGAGAGTCCCATGGACTGCAAGGAGATCCAACCAGTCCATCCAAGGAAATCAGTCCTCAATATTTGTTGGAAGAACTGATACTAAAGTTGAAACTCCAGTACTTTGGCCACCTGATGCAAAGAACTGACTCATTGGAAAAGACCCTGATGTTCAGAAAGATTAAAGGCAGGAGGAGAAGGAGACAACAGAGGATGAGATGGTTGGATGGCATCACCGACTCTATGGACATGAGTTTGAGTAGGCTCCAGGAGTTGGGTGATGGATAGGAAGGCCTGGCGTGCTGCAGTCCATGGGGTCGCAGAGAGCTGGACACGACTGAGCGACGGAACTGAACTGAGCAGACAGCAGATGCTTAATAGTCACTGCTCTTATTAGAATTAAACATGAGAGAAATATTCTTCCACTTCCCAGAATCTTTATATAATTAATTCCCATAACTTCACCCCTAGCTAGAGACTATGGAGACAACCTAACATTCAGATGGACTCTGTGCCCAGCAGCACATGGAAGATGAAGCCCGTTAGTTTCTTACCCGAGGGCGGCACTGAATGGCCAGCCTAAGATGGCCCCAGCGGCTACTCCAAGCACAGCAAAGGAAGTTTTGTCCATATACCAGCCAGTCATGGCTATCAAGGTAGTGTACATACAGAAGCTGCTAGGAAGGAACGCTGCAAGACAAAAAAATGAAGAAAGGAGGGAAAGAGACAAGGGATTGAGATATACTAGGTATCAATCATTAAAAATGAACCTGCATTGCAAAATGTCAATAACCAAGAACATACTTTGAGCAATGCTATATTAGAAATGAGGAGTAAAGTGATTCTTCTTTAAAAAAAAAAAAGAGTTCAACAATTTTCTTATTTTCTCACTCCTGTTTTTTTATGTACCAGCATGTCCCCCAATTATACAATGTCAACCATGCCATTTATCTCCTGGCCTGTATTCCAATTCTAAAACTTACAAGATTCCAGGTTCCCGAGGAATACCCTCAGGTTTTATTTCCAGGCAGGAAATATGCTTCAAGAAATTTACAGCCACTGGGGCTTCCTTAGTGGCTCAGTGGTAAAGAATTCGCCTGCCAATGCAGGGAACATGGGTTCGAGCTGTAGTCAGGAAGATCCCACATGGTGCAGAGTAACTAAGCCTGCGCGCCACAACTACTGAGGCTGTGCTCTGGAGCCCGGGACCTGCAACTACCGAAGCCCTCGCGCCCTCGGGCCTGTGTTCCACAAGAAGATAAGCCCGCGTGATGAGAAGCCCGCATCCCCTAGAGAGGAACCCCTGCTCATCACAGCTAGAGAAAAGCCTGCGCAGCAACAAAGACCCAGCACAGCCGAAATAAATAAAATAAATCTAGAGCCATTGTTAACAATCTGTTTCGGAGGAAGTTAATCCTCTGATAGTCTTCTGAGACTGTCTAAGCAGCAGCCTGTTCCCCAGCGGAGCTCTCAGAAGCCTTCTGAAGAGCCACATCTGTTAGACGGCAGCACTGCTCTGCATCCTGCATCCACTGCCATAGGCAGTTTGGCCTTTAGATGTCCTCCTAGTTATTTCATCACATAACTTTCTTGTGGCACACAGCAGAGGACTGACCACCTTCAGGGTCTCTGTGACAGTAACATCTCATCCAAGCATTTCTATTAATGCTACATGAAAATGCAGACTGCTTCTCCCTGCTCTTTAAGGGCCTCACCGAGCACTAGGTGAAACAACTCAGTACCAGCTCCAACAAGAACCAGTGGACAGGCAGTATGGTTTAAGAAACTCAGCAAAGGCATACCTAAGGCCGATTCATACTGATGTATGGCATCACAACATTGTACAGTAATTATCCTCCAATTAAAATAAATGAATTAATTAAAAGAAAAACTCAGCAAAGGGTTCAGATGGTCTATATCAAAGGATGCCTTTAAGTTATCGGTGCCTTAACATCTTCAACTGAAATTATAAAACTAAAGATACTCCCAAGTATCTCCCTCATATAAGAATCCATTTTAGGACTAGCAAAATAACTAAAAACATATGTGAAGTACAACCTTCCCAGACAAATGCTAAGCAACACTGACACCATCCCAAGCAGCTGATTCCAGCTCCAAGGGAGCAGAGGAACCTGAGGTCTCTGCCCATTCAGAGGCCAGAACATAGTCTCATTTAGGCTTTCAAAGCTATTCAGGTATGAGGCCTGAGGTCTCTATAGAACATGGATTAAGATACAGACATTGTATCAATATATCAATACTTTTACACTGGATACTATTTTTGTGTATATTCATTTTGTGTACTAGATTTTGGTACACACAAGTCAAAATTAAAATTCAGATAATTATATCTAGTAACTAAAATTTTCTGGGTAATTGGGAATGGGCTACCTTTTAGGAAGAGGTTACTCTGGCGCAGGTCAAAAAACACAAAGGTTCAATGGCAGCACAGTTGGAAAGCCACCACTCTACATTAAGGATTTTATTCTAGATTTCCAGAAGCTTACTGTAAAAAAAAAATCCAACAGAAGATGTGTACTTTTATGGAATCTATGGCAAGTAACTGGTATAAAATAGAACCATCAAGACCAGGGTCTTTGAAACCATGCTGTCATTTCAGTCGTGTTTGACTCTTTGTGATCCTATGGACTGTAGCCTGCCAGGCTCCTATGTCCATGGGATTCTCCAGGCAAGAACACTGGAGCGGGTTGCCATTTCCTTCTCCAGGGCATCTTCCCAACCCAAGGATCAAACCTGTGTCTCTTATGTCTCCTGCATTGGCAGGTGGGTTCTTTACCACTAGCACTACCTGGGAAGTCCTTGAGCAAAATAAAATATTTTTCCTTCTGCTAACAGCAAAGAAAGGCAGTGGATGCTTATGTTTCACAGCCTTGCAGTGATAAAAAATATATACAATAATGTAAAAGAAAGCAACTTGATGAAAATAACAGTTCTGCTACTGCTAAGTCACTTCAGTCGTGTCCAACTCTGTGCGACCCCATCCCTGGGATTCTCCAGGCAAGAACACTGGAGTGAGTTGCCATTTCCTTCTCCAATGCATAAAAGTGAAAAGTGAAAGTGAAGCCACTCAGTCGTGTCCGACTCTTAGCGACCCCATGGACTGCAGCCCACCAGGCTCCTCCATCCACGGGATTTTCCAGGCAAGAGTACTGGAGTGGGGTGCCATTGCCTTCTCCAAATAACAGCTTTACCACTTATGAATTCTTTGACTTTTGGCAAGTCATTTCACCTTTCTAAGTTGCAGTGTGCTTACTTGCAAAAATGAGAAAACATTTATCTGACTTTTATCATAGGATTGCTGTAAAAGTCAATCAGTCATGAAGATAATCCCCAGTGTGCATGCTCAAGTTGTGTCCGACTCTCTGCAACCTTATGGGATGTAGCCCCCCAGGCTCCTCTGTCCATGGGATTTCTCCGGCAAGAATACTGGAGTGGGTTGCCATTTCCTCCTCCAGGAGATCTTCCCGACCCAAGGATCTAACCCACGTCTCGTGTCTCCTGCACCGGCAGGCGGGTTCTTTACCACTGAGCCACCAGGGCAGATCATAGGGCTCTGGAAATTACTGACGTGTTATACAAATATAACCTACATCTGGACAAGTTATTCTGTTTGATGCAACTGCAAAATGTCAGTGAACCTTTTATGCCCTCACCTGCTCTTTTACTTACCTGATGACGAGCAAAACATGCCAGTGCTGAGAACCAAGAAGGCTAGCATCATTCGACTCACATGCAGCCCAAACTTCTTACACACAGCCCTAGGGGGAAGGCAAAGACTATCAACACAGCAGACCTTCGGGAAATTTCAACTTAAAGTACAAAGACAGGCCTGCATCACAGAGAACGCTGAAGATCTGAAGTCAAAGACAGGACTGTCTCAACAGGTCTGTTAGCAATTTCATGTGCATAAACATTCTTATTCCTTATGCAGAAGAGAAGCTCTGTACCTAAGAGGAAATGTATACTTTCTATAGATTATGTCTACAGAATAATCTATGCTAGATTATGTCTAACATCAATAGGAAAACAGCCTGGTGTAATGGAAAAATAACAGAACTCACATGGACACAGGTTACAATCTTGACCCTTCCACTCACTAGCAGAGGCACCCTAGTCCAGTAACATCTCTGTAACACTCCTCATCTGTTAAATGAGGATACTGATAATACTCACTGCATAAGGTTTCTGTGAGGACAATGCATGGCAAAGGACTCAGAAGAGTGCCAGGAACAGAGCTGCTCAACAGAGGGCAGTTTATCAGAAAAGACGACTAGGGAGCACACCAAAGTTTTAATAAATGGATATCTAAGTCAATGTTCCTCAAGAACATAAGAAATTATATACTTCCTTTAACTTCTGTCTTATAGGTCTTTTCAACCCGATAAAGAAAACATCAGCAGAGGTGATTATTCCTTCATTTAGTCAATATTTGTTCAGACATAACCATGTGTTAACTCTCCTTGCTCAGGTTCTTAAATGCATCACAGAGCTTCTTTCTGAAATAATTTTGTTTCTCCCTTAATATATCCTTTAGAAGGTTCTTTGTAGTAAGGATCTGTTCATGGTAAATTCTGGTTTTTGATATTTTTTTTCATTTTGTCAGAAAAGCCTTTATTTAGCTCTTGGTCTTAAAAGGTGATTTAGCTGAATATATCACTTTAGGATGACAGTCATTTTCTCACAGAACTTTGAACATATTTTTTGTCTTCTGGCTCTTAAGAAGGCTTTTGTTGGTCTAACTGCCTGACATTTCTTTGTAGGATTTATATTAGTCCTCTGTCAACCTGTAAGATCTTTGCTCTTGGTTTTACACAGTATCCCTAATTACTCTTTATTTATCCAGCTCAGGACATTAGGCTTCCTGAATTGTGGATTAGTGTCCTTTCTCCTTTGATTCTGGAAAATTCTTAGCTATTACTTCTCTGAATATTGCCTTTCCCTATTCTATAAGCTTCTAGATCCAATAAGATATAAATCAGATCTTTCAACTCTACCACATGCATTTTTTATCCTCTCACCCTTTTTTTTTCTTCTGTCACTCTGTACTGCATTCTTAGTAATTTCTTCAGATTAATCTTCTAGTTTATTTATTAGAAGTGTCCAATCAAGAGAACAGACCTGTGGACACAGTGTGGGGTTGGTGGGTAAGGAGAGGGTGGGATGAATAGAGAGAGTAGCATGGAAACATAAGCACTATCATGTGCCAAATAGGTACCAGTGGGAATCTGCTGTCTGACTCAGGGAGCTCAAGCTGGCGCTCCGTGATGAACTAGAGGGACGGGACGGGATGGGGTGGGAGGTGGGAGGGAGGCTCTACAGGGAGCGGACGCATGTATACCTGTGGCTGATTCATGGTGATGTATGGCAGAAACCAACACAGTATTTTAAAGCAACCACCCTTCAGTTAAAAATAAATATTAAAAAAAATTTTTTTAAAGAAATGTCTAATCAGTTGTATACCCTGAAGCTGGGAAAGACTGAGGGCTGGAGGAGAAGAAGGCGACAGAGGATGAGATAGTTGGATGACATCACCAACTCAATGGGCATGAATTTGAACTAACTCCGGGAGATGGTAAAGGACAGGGAAGCCTGGTACGCTGGTTGCAAGGAGTCGGACACGACTTAGTGACTGAACAAGCCAGTTGTTTCAACTACCCACTGAATTTTATATACTAATGATTATATTTTTAATTCTAGAAGTTCTGTGTGGTTCTTTTTCAAATCTGCCTGGTCATTTTTGTAGTCTCATTCATTTCTTTATCTTTTTTATTTCACTGTGGTAAGAACACCTAATATGAGATCTACCCTCTTAACAGATATTTAAATGCAAAACACAGCACTGTATCAATAGGCAGAATGTTGTACAGCAGATCTCTAGAGCTAATTCGTATCACGTAAGTGAAACCTTATACCCACTTGATTAGCAACTTCCTGTTTCCATCAGCCCCCGATCTTGGCAGCCAGAAGTCTATCCCTTCCTTTGCTTCCATGAGTTCAACCATTTTAGATACCTCGTGAAAGGGGAACTGTGCAATATTTGCTCCTCTGTGGCGAGTTATTTCACTCAGCACAATATCCTCAAGGCTCACCTACATTGTCATAACTTTAGGATTTCCCTCTTTTTTAAAAAAAATTTTCTTTTTTAATTACTCAATTTATTCATTATTTTATATCTGGCTGTGCTAGATCTTCGTTGGTGCATGGACTTTCTCTCATTGCAGCAAGCAGCGGCTTCTCTAGAGTTGAGGTGTGAGGGCTTCTCATTGCAGTGGCTTCTCTTGTTGCAGAGCAGGGCACCTGAGCTTCAGCAGTATCAACTCACATGTTCTAGATCACAGGCTCAGTAGGTGTGGCACATGGGCTCAGCTGCCCCACAGCACATGGGATCTTCTCAGAGCAGGGATCAAACCCATGTTCCCTGTGTTGGCAGGCAGATTCTTAACCACTGGGGTACCAGGGAAGTCCTTCTTTTTGAAGACTCAATAATGTTCCTTGGTGTATATATGCTATATCCCCCCCACCCCATTCACCCGTCAATAGATATTTAGGGTGTTTCCAATGTTGGCTACTGTGAATAATGCTGCAATGACTACTGGAAAGGTAGCTCTATTTTTGGGGTTTTAAGGACCCTCCGCACTGTTCTCTGGGGCTTCCCTGGTGGCTCAGCTGGTAAATACCCCGCCTGCCAATGCAGGAAACAAGAGACGTGTGTTTGATCCCTGGGTTGGGAAGATCCCCTGTTGAATGAAACAGCAATCCACTTCAGTATTCTTGCCTGGAAAATTCCATGGACAGAGAAGTCTGGCAGGCTACAGTCCAGGGGGTCACAGAGAGTCAGACACAGCTGAATGTAGGCATGCATGCACATGCACACACACACACACACCCCGTTCTCCATAGTAGCTACACCAATTTACATTCCCACCAACAGTGTAGGAAGGTTCCCTCTCCCCTACACCCTCTCCAGTATTTATAATTTGTAGACTTTTTGATGATGGCCATTTTGACCAGTGTGAAGTGATACTTCATTGTACTTTTGCTTTGCATTTCTCTAATGATTAGCAATGTGGAGCATCTTTTCACATGCTTATCAGCCATCTGTATGTCTTCTTTGGAGAAATGTCTATTTAGGTCTTCTGTCCACTTTTTGACTGGGTTGCTTTTTTTGACTGGGTTGAGTTGTAGGAGCTGATTGTATATTTTGGAGATTAAGCTCTAGTTAGTCATATCATTTGCAAATATTTTCCCCCAGTCCGTAGTTTGTCTTTTCATTTTGCTTATGGTTTTCTCTGCTGTGCAAAAGTTTATGTCTGTACAACACTGTAAATCAACTCTATTTCAATTTAAAACATAATAAAAAATTTTTTTGAAAACAGTTATAAGTTTAAGGCCCCAACTGTTTATCTTTGCTTTTATTGCTATTGCCTTGGGAGAATGACCTAAGGAAACACTGGTACAATATGTGTCAGAGAATGTTTTACCTATGTTCTCTTCCAAGAGTTTTATAGCGTTATACTTAAGTCTTTACGTCATTTTGCATTTATTTTTCAGTATGGTGTGTGAGAGTGTTCTAATTTCATTGAGCTATTAATACATGTGGCTGCCAGGTTTTCCAACACCCCTTGTTGAAGAGACTGTCTTTTCTCCATTGTCTAATATATTCTTGCCTCCCTAGACAAGAGCCATTCTAACAGATATGAAATGATCTCCCTGTGGTTTTGATTTTTGTTTTCCTTATGACTAGTGATATTGCCATCTTTTCATATCCCTGTTGGCCATTTTATTAGGTTTCTTTAAACCACTGAGTTAGAAGAGCTCCTTATACATTTTGGAAATGAACTTCTTACCATATATGTGATCTGCAAATATTTTCTCCTATTCTGTAAGTTCCTTTTCACTCCATTGATTTTTTAATCCCTTATTAGTCTCTTGTTTTATATGTTTTCAAGTCCCTATTTTATTTCTTTAAAAATATTAAATATAATTATTTTCTATTCCTATTTTAGTAATTCGTAATAAATGAAGTTTTGTAGGTCAGCTTTCTATTGATTATCTCTGCTGGCTCTCACTTTATAATGACCTGTTCCCTTCTGTGCTTTGTCATTTATTTTTATTATAATCTGGTTCACTAGAACTTTATCTATGGTAATTCTTTGACAATTGGATTAAGAATCCACTTCTCTAGAGAAATTTTACTTTTTGACTTTGCAAGATGTCTGGAAAGGGAAGGAAAGTGAAGTCACTCAATTGTGTCTGACTCTTGGTGACCTCATGGACTGTTGCCTATCAGGCTCCTCCATCCATGGGATTTTCCAGGCAAGAGTACTGGAGTGAGTTGCCATTTCCTTCTCCAAAGGTGTCTGGGGACACTATTGTTGTTTAGTCACTAAGTCATGTCCACTCTTTGCGACCCATGGACTGCAGCAGGCCAGGCTTCCCTGTCCTTCACCATCTCCCGAAGTTTGTTCAAACTCATGTCCATTGAGTTGGTGATGTCATCCAACCATCTCATTCTCTGTCACCCTCTTCTTCTCCTGCCCTCAATCTTTCCCAGCATCAGGGTCTTTTCCAATGAGTCGACTCTGCACCAGGTGGCCAGAGTATTGGAGCTTCAGCTTCAGTCCTTTCAGTGAATATTCAGGGTTTATTTCCTTTAGGATTGACTGGTTTCATCTCCTTGTAATCCAAGGGACTCTCAAGAGTCTTCTCCAGCAGCACAGTTCAAAAGCATCAATTCTTTGGTGCTCAGCCGTCTTTATGGCCCAACTCTCACATCCAGAAAAAACTACGAACCTTTGTCAGCAGAGTGATGTCTCTGCTTTTTAATACACTGTGTAGGTTTGTCATAGCTTTTCTTTCAAGGAATAAGCCCTGAAGAATTTACAATAAATTCTAAACTTGGGGCTTAGGAGACCACGTGGGTAATTTGAATTCACTACTGAATTCATATGAAGACCAACTTAAAGTTACAATCCTGAAAGGTAGCACTGGATTTCTTTTTTTTACTTTATTCTACCCAGAGTCAAGACCAAAGAACTTTTTAATCTGACATTGTTGGCTGTTTTGCAATGGGAACACTTTAAGTAATGGTTATTAAGTACAAATACCTTTTAAAACATTCTTAAAATAAGATGTTTGTTAGGTTTCATGTTTAAAAAAAAAGTAGCTATTTTTATTACTGGGATACTTAAATGCCTAATATTTTCACTAATATTCATTCAACCAACAGTTACTTGGCGAAAGACAATCATACTGAGTACATAGTGAGTCTCACACTGGAAATAATTTCCTATCAGCTAAGCTCAAAAGAGCAAAAGAGACATCATGATTTATCTCTTAGGATCAAAAAAAGGCTCTACAAAATCCTACCAAATAAAGTACTACTCAAATATACACTTACAGAACTGAAATTATAATATGAAGATACAGCATTTATCACCTCAGGATATTAGAAGTATCTCCTCCCAATGGTTGGCTTTTAACAAAAAATTTCATTTTAAGATACAATATCAGAAACTAGAAGAAAAATGCCTTCTATTTCTAAACACTGTTTCTACTATCGGAGAAATAACCTATGCTCAATTTGGCTTCCTTATAGCACTTTTAGAAGCAAAGTTTTTATACTCACTTGTAAAAGTAAAGTTCACATATACAGCTCACAAAAGCCAGCAGACATCGTAAAAAATAAAAGACAAGGATCTGAAAGAAACCCAGAACAAGAAAAAAGAAGTCACAGATACAAGTTAGAAAAACTCTTAAAAGATGAAACCACTCTCATTTGTCAGTAATAACTATAAACTGGCATAATCCTTTTGAAAAGCAGTGTGTATCAAGAACCATGGACATTTTTATACCTCCAAATCCAAGTACGGAAGTATATTTATTGACTACTTCTATGACTTCAGCCCACAAAAGTAACTCAAAATATAGGAGGGGAGTTCGAGTCATAAAGATGTTAATTGCAGCTCTACTAATTTAGTAAAAACTATTTTAAAAGCTACAAAATGTTCAATTACAGGAAAATGGCTAAATTATGTTACATCTATTTCATGTTATATCTAATCATGACACAGATACCAAAGTTCATGGTTACAAAGACAGTGGAAAAATTCTTATCATATAAATCTCATTCACATGACAAGCATCTCTCAATTATAATAATTGTTTGCAATTATTATAAAATTATAACAAAATACTAAATGAAAACATATATGATTTATACATTACAGTTATAGCTATAGAAATCAGAAGTATATGAAAAAAATAGAAAGAAATATAATAAAATGGTAAAAGTGGTGATCTCAGTCTAGTGAGACTTACATGCATATTCTTCCTCCTATCTTCCAAATGTCTGTAATGTGGTTTTATTAATTTTATGAATTAATACAAATTTTAAACATAAAAATAACAAAACAAAACCATATCAAATAGCTTTTCTACTACAGTATAACTAGTATGTTTAAGAAAAATGAATATCTCTGAATATAAGCACTACTTCAATATATTCAATGATTACTATTACTGCATATAACTTAAAAGTACTTTCTGTTTTATCATTATAACCAAAAAACAAAATTCCAAAAAGAATCGAATCAAGTGATCAGCAAATATCCAAATTCATTCATTAATTCAGCAACATACTGAAAACCTGCTATGCACTGATCACTCTTCTAGATGCTACGAGGAATACACATAATTTTAGTACAAAGTATCCATATTGAAGGACTACTCATCTGGTTGGTGAGAGTACAAAAACATATTTGGAAAGTCAAAAACTAACACAAGATAATCAAAGAATTGTACTTTGGAACAGGACAATGATGCCCCCATAGTTACTAATATTCAGCACAGTAACATGATGTCAGATCAGTGCAAAAAGACACAAAAAAGAAATGGAGTAAGTATAAGAATGGAACAGAAGAAACTAAATTCAATATGAACAGATGAAAGAGAATCCAAGGGATTCACTTGACAAACTGTTGACACTGATAAGGAAATTCAGTGAAATTGAGATCAAAAAGCAAAAATCAACTGTCTTCCTCTATACCTGCAATGAAAGTGAAAGTAAGTCAGAGTTGCTCAGTCGTGTCTGACTCTTTGCGCCCGCATGGACTATACAGTCCATGGAATTCTCCAGGTCAGAATGCTGGAGTGGGTAGCCTTTCCCTTCTCCAGGGGATCTTCCCAACCCAGGGATCAAACCCAGGTCTCCCACATTGCAGGCGGATTCTTTACCAGCCGAGCCACAAGGGAAGCCCAAGAATACTGGAGTGGGTAGCCTACCCTTCTCCCTCCCTGGGAATCAAACCGGGGTCTCCTGCATTGCAGGCGATTCTTTATCAACTGAGCTATGAGGACAGCCCTACACCTGCAGTGAGTTCCTAAAAATATTACAGAAAACAAGATAACATCCATACCAGTAACAAAAAGTATAGAGAATCTAGGCATTATCCTAATCAAAGAATGGGTAAGCTTGACATGGATAAATTTTTTTTTGATACATTCTTTAAATTTTACTAAAAGACAACAGAAAAACGAGTTCCAGTGGTTAAGAATCCACCTTCCAATGCAGCAGATTCGGACTCAATCCCTGGTAGAACTAAGATCCACATGCCATGGGGCAACTAACCCAAGCACTGTAACTTCTGAGCCCACGAGCTCTGGAACCCACTTGTCACAACTACAGAGAAACCTGTGCACAGCAATGAAAGATCCCGAATGCCACAAATAACACCCAAGGTAGCCAAATAAATAAATCAATTAAATAATAAAGACACATCAAACCTGACTAAATGATAAGTAAATCATTTATATATAATAGGATGGAATGATGTAACACTGTAAAAATATTCTCATGCATGCACGCTTAGTCACTCAGGCATGTCCAACTCTTTGTGACTTCATGGACTGTAACTCGCCAGGCTCTGCTTTCCATGGAATTCTCCAAAAAAGAATACTAGAGGGGGCTGCCATTCCTTTCTGCAGGGATCTTCCCACCCAGGGATTGAACCCGGGTCTCCTGCACTGCAGATGGATTCTTTACTGTCCAAGCCATCAGGAAAACCCACTGAGTCTCATATTAACATGTAAATTCAAGGCAACTCTAAGGAAAATCTGGCAGAATTTGGGAGGGGGAAAACTGATTCTAAAATTATTTTTACAATAAAATTTGAAAATGGATAAAGTGAAAAATTCATCAGCCACGCTACAAAGCCATAATAATAAAAACAATATGGTATTCTCTGACACACTAACCAGAGACATAGAACAAAAGGCCAGAAACACATATGCAAAAAGATGTTCAACAGAGAAGGTAATAATGTTACAAACCAGAAGGAAGAGGAAGAATCAGCAGATAGTGCTGGAAAATCCAGTTCACCATACAGCGAAAAATGAAGCTGGATCTTTCAATAATTCATACATTAAAAAAACCGGAATGGAGTGAAGCCTTATATGTGAGGGTTTCCCTGATGGCTAAGATGATAAAGAATAGGCCAGCAGTGCAGGAGACCCAAGTTCAATCCTCGGGTCGGGAAGATCCCCTGGAGAAGGAACCGCTGCCCTCTCCAGCATTCCTGCCTGGAGAACCCCATAGACAGAGGAGCCTGGCGGGCTGCAGTCCACAGGGTCGCCAAGAGTCAGACACGACTGAATGACTAAACATGCACGCTTATATGTGAAAGACAAAATTACAAAGTTACTGTGAAGAAATACATAAGAATACCTTTATGATCTGTGGTGAAGAATTTCTTTCAGAAAGGCCCAAAATCCACCAACTGTAAGTCAGAAACTAATTGGTTTGACTCTATCAGAACTAAAGAAAGGACTACAAAATTAGTAAACAGGTGACAGTGCAGGAGAAAGGATTTCCAGCACCTAAAACCTACAAGGGGTTACTACTGAGAACTTCTACAAACCACAAGAGAAAATCAGAAAACTCCACTGAAAAACAGGCAAAGGGGCTTCCCTGGTGGCTCAGTGGTAAAGAATCCAGCTGCCAAAGGAGGAGACGAGGGTTCAATTCCTGATCCAGGAGGATGCCACATGCCACGGAGCAGCTCAGCCTCTGTGCCACAACTACCAAGCCGGGGCTATAGAGCCCGGGAGCTGCAATTACTGAGGCCCGCGTGCCCTAGAGCCCTGCTCGGCAGCAAGAGAGGCCACTGCACTGAGAAGCCTGTGCATTGCTATTACAGAGTGGCCCCCGCTCTCTGCACTACAAGAAAGCCCGCACAGCAGGGAAGACCCACCCGCCACCGCTGCAAATAAATAAGTAAACAGGTAATTCACAGGAAAACCAATCTGAATGACTGGTAAATATACAAAGAAATTCTCCATCTTACTATTTGTCATAAAAATGCAATGAAAATGAGGAGCATCTCTCCATGGGTACCAAGCGGGGAGGGGATGGGGGGGCAGATGAGTTGGGAGAATAGGATTGACACATATATACTATTATCTATAAAATAGGTAACTAATGAGAATCTACTATATAGCACAAGGAAGTCAGTGCTCTGTAGTGAGCTAAACAGGAAGGAAATCTTAAAAAGGGGGGATATATGTATACATATAGGTGATTCAGGGCTTTCCAGGTAGAGAGAATGGTGAAGAATCTACCTGCCAATGCAGAAGGCATAAGAGAAGCCAGTTTGATTCGTGGGTCAGGAAGATCCCCTGGAGCAGCACATGGCAATTCACTGCGGTATTCATGCCTGGAGAATCCCCATGAACAGAAGAACCTGGAGGGCTACAGTCTATAGGGTCGCAACGAACTGGACACAACTAAAGCAACTTAGCATGCGCACACGCAAAGCTGATTCACTTTGTGGTATACAGAAACTAATAACACTGTAAAGCACCTATACTTCAATAAAAATTAATTTTAAAAAATGAGAAATATCTTACACACTTAAGAGAGTCAGCAATATCAAGTGCTCAGGAGAAGTTAGGAACCTGAAACTCCAAACACTGCTGCAGGGAGTATAAAGCTGAATATCCATTCTGGAGAGCAATATGGCAGTGCTCCATGAAATTATGTAGTCCATGGATATATGCATGGGATCCCATTCCTGAGTGTACGGTTCAGAAAAATTCATACTCAAACCCATAAGGAGACAAAACAAAGCTGTCCTTTTTTAGAGTGGTAAGAAATTGTAAAGGTAACTGTCACTAGGGGTACCAATTATTACCATACTGTCTTGTGGATCAAAACAAACTGTGGAAAATTCTTAAAGAGATGAGAATACCAGACCACCTGACCTGCCTCCTGAGAAATCTATATGCAGGTTAAGAACCAACAGTTAGAACTAGACATGGAACAACAGACTGGTTCCAAATCGGAAAAGGAGTACATCAAGCCTGTATATTGTCACCCTGCTTATTTAACTTATATGCACAGTACATCATGAGAAATGCTAGGCTGGATGAAGCACAAGCTGGAATCAAGATTGCTGGCAGAAATATCAATAACCTCAGATATGCAGATGACACCACCCTAGAGCCTCTTGATGAAAGTTAAAGAGAAGAGTGAAAAAGCTGGCCTAAAACTCAACATTCAGAAAACTAAGATCATGGCATCTGGTCCCATCACTTCATGGCAAATAGATGGGGAAACAGCGGAAACAGTGACAGACTTTATTTTTTTGGGCTCCAAAATCACTGCAGATGGTGACTGCAGCCATAACATTAAAAGATGCTTGCTCCTTGGAAGAAAAGTTATGACCAAACTAGACAGCTTATTAAAAAGCAGAGACATTACTTTGTCAACAAAGGTCCATCTAGTCAAAGCTATGGTTTTTCCAGTAGTCATGTATGGATGTGAGAGTTGGACTATAAAGAAAGCTGAGCACCGAAGAACTGATGCTTTTGAACTGTGGTGCTGGAGAAGACTCTCGAGAGTCCCGTGGAAAGAAAGGAGATCCAACCGGTCCATCTTAAAGGAAATCAGTCCTGAATACTCATTGGAAGGACTAATGCTAAAGCTGAAACTCCAATACTTTGGCCACCTGATGCGAAGAACTGACTCATTTGAAAAGACCCTCATGCTGGAAAAGATTGAAGGAGAAGGGGACGATAGAGGATGAGATGGTTGGATGGCATCACCGACTCGATGGACATGAGTTTGGGTGAACTCCGGGAGTCGGTGATGGATAGGGAGGCTTGGCGTGCTGCAGTCCATAGGGTTGCAAAGAGTTGGACATGACAGCGACTGAATTGAACTACACTGTCTTTCAGCAACAATCTACCCTTTTCTACTCTGAATTATGATGCTCCAGTTGGGACTCTAGAAGCTACAATTTGAAGTGATAGTGGAAATCCAAGTGGAAATGGAATTTTTAAGCTCTGCATGTTATTATTTCTCTCTGGAGCTTCCCAGGTGGCTCAGTGGGTAAAGAATCCACCTACAATGCAGGAGAGCAAGAGACATGGGTTCGATCCCCTGGCTGTGAAGATGCCCTGGAGGAGGGCATGGTAACCCAGTCCAGTATTCTTGCCTGAAGAAACCCGTAGACAGAGGGGCTTGGTGGACTACAGTCCATAGGGTTACAAAGAATCGGACACAACTGAAGTAACTGAGGATGCACGCACACATGCATTGTTATTTTGCTAAGTCTCTCTTCCTGTATATCTTTCCTTTGACAAATAAGTTCAAAAAAATCAGAAATTTGATACTAGTTAAGGCGATGGCGACCCACTCCAGTACTCTTGCCTGGAAAATCCCGTGGATGGAGGAGCCTGGTAGGCTGCAGTCCATGGGGTCACAAAGAGTCGGACACAACCGAGCGACTTCACTGTCACTTTTCACTTTCATGCATTGGAGAAGGAAATGGCAGCCCACTCCACTGTTCTTGCCCAGAGAATCCTAGGGACGGAGGAGCCTGGTGGGCTACTGTCTATAAGGTCGCACAGAGTCGGACACGACTGAAGTGACTTAGCAGTAGCAGGGACAGACAGATAGAGTTCTACCACTCTCTACAGGTGCTACCTTTATGATTTTTCTAAAAAAGAAATGCAATCATGTGTCTCCTCTGTCAAAAATTTTTGATGGTTTCATGATACAGTTGGAAAAAAAAGAAAGTCTAACTGCTTAAAGCCTAGGTGTTGTGTAAATCTGGCCTCTTCCTATCTCTCAGTCTCATCTATGTGTAAATCTGGCCTCTTCCTATCTCTCAGTCTCATCTAATCCACTCTACCACTCATGCTCTCCTCCAAGCATCAAACCTATTGGCTAGGGACTTTGGGACCTGAGGAACAACATGGTGGTAAGTTCCCTGGGTTTTCTTCTGGTCTTCTATGTTCCAGAGTTGGAACTAAAGAAGTTGGAAACTAGAAATGCCAATGTATACAGACGTTAAAAAAAAAACAACCAAGGCCTGCTCTATCTAGCCATAAGGCCAAGAAAGGGGTAGCCTAGCAAGAAAGAAAACTTTTAGACAATAACCACTCTAATCCAGCCAAGAACCCCAGAAAAAAAATGTGGCATCACTTCCACTCACACCATCAAAGGTCAGGTGGGAGATATGGACTCCTTGTAAGGGTAAGGAGCTTCCTCTCCCACCACAATGTCAGTGGAGACCACTTGGAGATCTTGGACTCTGCTTCCCCCAAAGCTAGCAGTAATGAGGCATATCTACCCTGACCACTAGGGTGGTATCCATGGAGGACTACTGGGGAACTCGAACCTCAAGGCCCAATTGGCAGTAACAAGGTGGAGAACCCTCTCCTTTTTCTTGCTGTAGTTGTATCAAAAGAAGTCAGCTAAAAGAGAGGCTTAAATAAGAAAAGCAGAATAGTGCAGAGGAAGTTTGCTGGGCCCATGAATAAGATCCAGAGTCTCATACTATAATACCCAAAATGTCCAAGTTTCAACTGAATATTGTTTGTCAAACAGGAAAATCTCAACCTGAAGGGAAAACGTCAATTGATAGATACCTAAAACAAGATGAGATATTAGAATTATCTGACAAAGTTTTAGAGGAGACATTGTAAAAACACTTCAACAAGCAATTAAAAACATGCTAGGAACAAATGAAAAATAGAGTCTCAGTAAATAAGCAGAAGATGAAAAATCAAATGGAAATTTTAGAACTGATAAAATACAATAATCAAAATAAAAGCTCAATGGATAGACTCAACAGCAAAATGGAGGGGACAGAAGAAAGTGTTGGTGAACTGGAAAACCTAAGATAGAAATCATTCAATCTGAACAGAGAGAAAACAGATTGGGGGAAAAAAAAATGAAGAGAGCTTCAGGGACCCATAAGACTATATAAAAGATCTAACATCCACATCATTGGAGTCTCAGGAGAGGAGAAACATGGCAAGATTGAAAAACTACTAAAAAAAACAAATAGTAACAGTTAAAATCTTCCCACATTTGCAAAACACATAAGCCTAAAAACTGAAGAAGTTGAATAAACTCCAAACAGGATAAACCCAAAGAAATCCACACTAAAGACATATTACAGCCAAATTTCTGAAAGGTAATCAGGTTAAGTCTCGGTTAACTCCTAATTATCCTTCAGTATTTTACTTACATTAAGCTCTCCTAACATGCTAACCTATAGCACATTATACTTTTCCTCCAAGACCCACTGCATTTATAATTACTTGTTCCATGTTCGTCTTCCTCACTGGATTTCACAAGGGAGGGGTTTGATCACTGTTACACTCACAGCACTTAACAAAGTATCTGCCAAATGCAAGTTGCTCCATTAATATTTGTTGAATAACAAATAAATAAACGATTTTTCTTCCAAAAAAAGTCCTGTCTTAACAACCAACACGTTTTGTCTTTTTCACAGAACTGTCCCAGAGACTCGCCCACCTCTTCATCTGTTGTGACTGCTTCCAAGTCGGCCTGTTCTTACCTTATTTGTCTGCAAAATTCTCGCATGAAATGCAGCTGGCCAGGCATGAAGCAACAGGTAAGCATATGAGCGAATGGCATAAGCTGGGGAATATTCCCACGTCTGAAACCCCTTCCCATAGATGAGGTAGTGTGTCTGAAAGTACAAAATGAATGGATTCAGGGTTATATTGGCCAAAAATTCTTGTTAAGAGGATGCAGATAAAGTTTCTAAGCAAAAATATTAACTGGACAAAGGTACACAAAAATGCTGAAATTGTCAACAAGATTTGCAACTAATGGATGGATAAGAATCAAAATGACCCAATACTGAAATATGAAGATATTATCAATCTTGTAAGACTATCGTTTGGCCAACATTGAAAGCTCAGATTTTATCCTCTATTTTTTTTTAAATACTCTTTAGACAAAACAGGAAAGCTTGACATCTTATATTTTCCTAAAACTACCTACACTAGCATTTATTTTTTATGCAAAATGTGATCAGAAAATTTCACCTCTGAATTTCCTATAAAAGTGTCCAACCAACTTATAAACGTATAAATCAAGAAACAGCAACATAAGCATAGTATGCAGTAACATTATTTATTTTAGTACACATCAGTAGAAAAAAAGCCAAGAAATTTAAAGAAAGTGGTTGCCTCTGGGGACAGGTGTTTGTACACAAGATGTGGAAAACAGAGTTACTGCTTTTCCTTTGCACTTAATATTTTTAAACTACCTCAAAGTATTATTTTGATTTTTAAAATGTTTTAAGAAAATTACAAATTATACTGTTTTGTGTAACTGCCAAATTCCTATACCCTTCAATAGTAGGTAAATCATCAGCTAAGAATACAGAAGTGAAAATAAAGTTATTTTACTAGTAGTCACACTTGTATATCATTTGTATCTTGATTAATAACAAGGACCCAGGCAGTGAAATTGAGAACAAAAAGAGAAAACTAAAGAAATCACCTACTGGCTCCCAGTAGTTGAATGTTTCATCACAGTCCGAGATGTTGCTCAAGAGGGCAGCACATAACCTTGCTGAGAGCAGACACTTGAAAGCCGTAGACCCTTCAGGTGCCCAGACTTGTCCGGCTTTGTTCCCAGATAACCTGCTCAGAAACAAGTATGTGATAGGAAGGACATGCTAACTAGAAGGACTAAAACTAGACAAAAACGACAACACGCAAGAGACACCAAAGCACTTGAGTTAGTCAACTAAAAGGGTTACCGTTAATTGTTCTGCAAACAATAAGTGAAGAACGAATTAAGACCTTAATCAACGTTAGTCATTACGTCCACTTCTTGTTTGGCATCTGTGACACTCTGCTTATCCCAAACCAACAAATCGCTCACTTGATGGCCACAAGCTTGCGTTCGATTTTTCTCTTTTCCTGCTGCTGCTGCTAAGTCGCTTCAGTCGTGTCCGACTCTCTGCATCCCCACAGACGGCAGCCCACCAGGCTCCTCTGTCCCTGGGACTCTCCAGGCAAGAACACTGGAGTGGGTTGCCATTTCTTCCCCAGTGCATGCATGCATGCTAAGTCGTTTCAGTCGTGTCCGATTCTGTGCGATGCTATGGACAGCAGCCCACCAGGCTCCTCTGTCCTCGGGATCCTCCAGGCAAGAATACAGGAGTGGGTTGCCATTTCCTTCTCCCCTTTCTTTTCCTAACAAGGTCATTACTTTACATGGCTTTTATTCATTCCCCGGTCTGTTCAAATGCCCAGAGGCTACTATGTGCAAAGGACATCACCGTGTCCTCCAATTCCATTCGCTGACAGCTCCCTGGCGCAGTCTTAACCTGTAGCCCCCCAGTTTGGAGAGAGAGGAGGCTACTGGTGTGGAGGGTGGTGGGTCCCACACAGAAGATAAAGGGCCGAGACTCTGGGGGGACTGAAGCTGTGAGAGACAGCCAGCCATACAAGGTGCTCTTTGCACTCGCCAACTAATCCTGGGCCTGGGGCGGAAGCCGCACAGACCTGCACTCCAGGTTTCTTCACTAGCAGCACGGGCCCGAACTCGGGGGTCTGATCTAAGCCCCAGCGTGCACCCGGCCCGCAGAAGGCGCGCGGTGAAGCGGCAGCGGGCCCTCCCGCACCGCGCCGGCAGGACCCTGCCCGCGGCAGCCCCGCGCCGCCCGGCCACGCCCCCGCCGCGCCCGCACACCTACTCGGGCCGCGGCTCCGCACTGCCCGCCTCCCGGCTGCACAGCAGGTCCCGCAGTTTGTCGGCGGCCGAGGCCGTGTCCCCGCCGCTGCCCCCGCTTCCCTTCAGGCGCTGCCGGGCCCCTCGGCTCGCCATGGCAAGCGTGGGAAAAAAAAGGTAGAATTCCGCACTCTACGAAAGCGACGAGCACGGAGACATTGCCGGGTCTGGCAACGGTGTCCGCCGAGGGACAAAAGACCTGGACATGCGCAGAAACGACTAAACTACGGCGCTCCTGGGCCAACTGGGGCAAATCCGAGTCGAAAAGAGATGCGATCGTTATCCCTTCCAAGTAACTTGTAACTCTGGGCATGCCCCCCTTTCCCTAATTCTCTCTTCCTTCACTTCTTAGCATTCTTCACTCTCCTACAAACACTGTCCTTCAGCATCCGTTTAAAAGAAAGCACAAATAGAAAGTGATTAAAACAACTCCACGTGGGATACATAGGTAGTCAGTTAAAAATCATAACACAGCCGTCTATCAAAGAGAAAGTTCTTTTAAGATCACCGACACCTTGTCCTCTGTATTTTGGCAAATAATAGGGACAGCCTGTAGCGAATTAACTGCTTCAGAGAGACAAAGTCCTAATAGCAGAATACAGAATTAGAAGAAAAATGAAAGGCTAAAGAAATTATGTGCAGCAAATTCAACAAGATGTCAGTCATTGCCATTGCTACTACAACATTATGGTAAGCATTTACTATATTTCATCCTTTTAAAATTTAATACAACCACCTTATCTTACCAAAAAGGAAACTGAGGCCCAAGGTTGCATAGCTAAACAAGTGGTGGAGCCATATTCCAACCCAGGTCTTACTACAAAGCCTGTGTTCTTCCAACCAGGAGATCAGGAAAAAGCTCTTGATTTCATACATTTCTCCACAGGCACCTTGATGATACCATGCCGCTGACTCGGGTCATTCATCTGTTTCTGACACTCCGCCGGCTCCCCCAGTCACGGAACTCTGTGCGCCCTGTGGAGCTCTATACCAGTAACTAAAACAAAGTCATAGAGGGAATAATAAACTTGACAGGATCCCAAGTTATGACTTCATACTAAAAATTTCCAAGTATTAATGGAGACTGATCCTATTGCTCGATTCCCACATGAAATTACTAGTTACCAAATTCAGACATCCTAATCTATTTCATACATCCACCTCTTTTTCATTTCACTCTAGTCAGGCCCCTCCCTGACTCTACCCAAGACCACTACAATAGCATCCTTACAGGGATTTCCCATCTCAAATTGATCCTGTGCAACACTGTCCAATTAACTTCCTAAAATACTTGTGTCCGTTCCTTAATCAAAGATTACCCGATTTTCCCTATTGCCTACAAAATAAAGCACACACTTCTTATTCCAGCATTTGTGGGCTTTCATGAACTAACTCCAGCTGCAACCTACTTTTCTAATCTCCTCTCCCACTACTTTCCTATACACACTTCATGTTTCAACTAACTAGCCTGTGAAGGACCCAGGATACTTCCTTATCTATACCTCTGCTCATGTCCTGGAACACATGCCCTCCTTGCCTAACAATCATCCCATCACATCCCTGCCCTTGTTTTAAGATCCAGCTCAAATGATTCCTCATCCAAGTGATGCCAAACCAAACATGGGTCTGCCCTCCTGCGCGCAGAAAAAATGTACCAACATTGGGCTTTGTTGAAGCAAAGTACAGTGTTTACTGCAAGAATGGGCAGCTCATGTTCAAAAGACCTAAACTCCCCCAAGCCTTTCAGGGGAGGTATTTTAAAGGCAAGGTGGAAAAAAAAAAACATAAAGGCAAGGTGAGAGAAACAGTTGAGATGTTCATGAGTAGCTCATGGACATCCTTGATTGGTTGGTGATTACGTTAACAGGTGTTATTTCAGGAGTCAGCCTCAACAACCTCCTGGGGTCTATGTCCTGGTGATCAACATGCAATTAACTTCTTCCATCTGGTGGGGGTTTAGAATCAATAAAACACACAAGGATATGACTCAAAATATTATCTATAGCCTTTGAGGAGGAACTAGAGGTACTTTTTTTGGTGGGGGGAAGCTAAACTATTATTGTCTTGCATGACTGATTTGTTTCTGCATATTCTCATTTCTCATTCCATCGAATCTGCTCTTTGGTGGACTTCCCTGGTGGTCCAGTGGTGAAGACTCTGCACTTCAACTGCAAGGGGTGTGGGTTCTACCCTTGGAATTAAGAACCCATCTACTGAGCAGCCAAAACAAACAAAAAAATAAACCTTTGGAACTCAGGGAAGGCCTAGGAGGCTAAAGCTTTTCTACAAACAAGAGGCGGCAGAGGGTGAAAGAGGTGGAGGGGTCTCCCAGGAAGGCCCTGCAGGGTTGCGCTTGGTTTCACGTGTACTAAGCACTATTGGGGTTGGAAGAAAACTATGAAGTCACATTGTCTCTCTATGCACGCTCAGTTGCTTAAGTCCTATCCGACTCTTTGTGACCCCATGAACTGTAGTCCACCAGGCTCCTGTCCTTGGGATTTCCCAGGCAAGAGTACTGGAGTGGGTTGCCACTTATTTCTCCAGGGTATCTTCCCAACCCAGGGATCGAACCCAGGTCTCTGCTGTCTCCTGCATTGGCAGATGGATTCTTTACCATCGAGCCACCTCTGCCCTCAAGTAGTTTAAAGTCTATGTGGAGAGCCAAGCAATACATGTGTCCTTAAGAGATCCCTTGATTCACTACCTAAACTTACTCCCATGCCAGTTTTCCTACTCCAATTAAAGATACTTCTATTCTCCTAGTTGCTTGGATCAAAAAACTAGGGATTCTGTTTGATTCCTCTATTTCTCTAACTCCAGAATATTTGTGCATGCACATATATTATCAGTGGGTCCTTTGAATTATTTCCCAGTCCAACCGCTTTTTACCACCCAGGTCCAGGTCACCATCATATCTTGTTTGCATTATTATAATAAACTAATTTGTTTCTTTCAGTTCTTACCTATCCACATGCTCTTGTCCAAATACAAGAATAAATGACATTTGAAATTAATTATACTTCAGTTACAAAAAATAAGAACAGAAACTTAAAAAAAGAATAAACAAGACAGTTATTTCCTTCACAGAATTTACACTATAATTCCAATCAGCAGAGCCTAGGTATTAACAGGAGCACACATTAATTCACATTAGGGCACCCCATTCTGCAGAGTCCTGGGCTGGGCCAATTTCCCAATGTCCTTTAGAGATACAACAGAAAGCCCCAAAATCTAGGGGAGCAAAGTTTAGAGTTAATCACAGTTGAGAGATTACTGTTGAAACCCAAGGAAAGAAAAGTAAAGTAACAGAAAGTGGCAGAAAGAACATGGGCTTTAGAGTCAGACAGACCCAAATGTGAACTCTAAATCTGACACTTATTTAGTTCCATGACTTTAACAGCAGTCAACCACAGAATAAACATGATGATGATACCAAAAATAATATGAAGCACCTGCAATTTATCCAAGCTAATAAATGGTCTAACTTTAAAAACCACTCTCAGTTGATTCTTAGAGAGATGATATGGTAGAGTTAAGGAAGAGGAATTGACATTGCATAAAAGATACTTATAAATATATTTGAGGAGACACTGAAGTTTTACTGTCTCTTCAGAATGATAGAATCTAGTGTTTAAGATGCTGTTTTGTTTCCCTGTCATTACTCATGATCAAAATGTTGTATACCTCCAAAGGTCACCAATCACATTATAGTCTCAGCGACTGAGCCACAGGTATCTTTTGAGCCAAACAACCAATCTTTACATTTTTAAAGTTTTATTTGGCCACATCGGGTCTTAGTTGCGGCACTCAGGATCTTCACCGCATCACGTGGGCTGTTTCCTTGTAGCGCTCAGACCCTAGTTCTGGCACACAGGCTCTGGAGTGAAAGCTCAGTAGTCACAGCGTGAGGGCTTAGTTGCTCTGAGTCAGGTGGGATCTCTGTTCTCCGACCAGGGATTAAACCCTTGTCCCCTGCTCTGTGAGGTGGATTCTTAACCACTGGACCACCGGGGAAGCCCCTCAATTAACCAATCTTTTACAAAGTAGAAGATTTTTACAAGACAAACAAAAAGTCCAGAAAGAACTATAGCGTACAAGTTGGTCTTTTTCCACCCACACCCACAAGGATCACTATGGAGAGATGAGTTTACTAAAACTACCGAGGTGTCACATGGAGTCGTTGTTGAATCTCCTTCCTAAGCTGGGACTGCATTGATGCTACCTGTTGCTGGGTCAGGGCCTTGTCACAGGCTTGGTAGGTCAGTCTATAGCAGAGGCTGACCTGTTCAGTCTTTGGATGCTGAAAACGACTAAGGAATTGTATGGATATAATGGTGTCCTGGGACACTGCTCGAGCCAGAGTGTGAAACTCAACTTCATCAAATCTTTTCTTTTCATCTAACCAAAAACTAATATCATGCACATAGTATGGAGGATACAGGGAATAGCTTTTAAAGGGTTCTATTTTTCCAGGGGCAAAATTCTTCAGGAAACGACTATCAGAGGTCCACAGCATCCTCCAATCGGAGATACCCCAGACAAGCATAGCTAAGAGGTCCAAGTTCATAGACACACACACAAAACACTGGTCTTTGTGTATCACACTTGTAGCAGATGTGGTAACAAACCCAATAATCAGGTCCTTAACACAATCTGGGCCAAAATTTTGAGACTTCACAGTAATCATATATCTTTCCCCAGTTGGCTGAAAGACAAATTCCACTGAACTGCTCAGCTCAGAGCCCTCCAGCCATGTCTGGGTCAGAAGGTTGTCTAGAATGCCCTTCAGATGATCCAGTAGTGATTGAAGACAGCTGTCCTTCAGATTTTTATTAAATCCAAGGATATACAAAGTCTCGTGAAATGCTGGCATTGTGAAAGGTGAGATGCAGCACCTCTGAAAGACAGGTCCACTGAGGATGTGCAGAGAGCCAGGGAGAAAGTCTGGTGCTTGGATTACAGCCTGGATGTGAACCAGAAGAGAAGGTCTGAGGCAGACCTTGGCCTGGCCATACGTTCCTCCATGAGCTTCTTCCTTCCTGTCTCTTCTAGGGCTCTTGGGAAGGCTGAGTTCTGAAAATGACACTACAAAGTCCTCCATGTCTTGTGTTGTCCCACTAGTCAGGGACTCAAAGTTTGAGTTATCTTCATGGAGACTAACCCAAAAGGCAGTTGATAGGATGTCAGGGTTGTGGAATGTGAGAACACTGGCGTCTCCTTGTGGCAGCAAAGGGGAAGAACACTTCAGCCTTTTTAGAGGAAAAGCTTTCCCAAATTCAGCAAGGAGTTTCTCATTTATGGTCTTGATAGGATGACATGAAGGTGCTTCTAGGAAGCCCCTGTTTAAACACACACAAAAAGAACTTTTTAAACTTAAAATTATACATTATTGTAACATAGCTAGAATTAAAAAGAATAGCTGAATAAAAAGAATTATCCTTAAGTTGATCCAAAAAGGAAACAAAGAAATCATCTACTATAAAGAGAGACAGCATGCATTTCAGAATTCTGACAGCCTATAATATACCAGAAAATATGATAATTAAAAAAAAATGTACTGGAGTATAGTTGATTTAAAATATTGCTTTTAGTTTCACATGTACAGATCAGTTATACATATACACATGCTGTGCTGTGCCCAGTTCTGTCTTGACTCTTTGCAGCCCCATGGACTGTAGCCCACCAGGCTCCTCTATCCATGGGATTTTCCGGGCAAGAATATTGGAATGAGTTGCCATTTCCTACTCCAGAGGATCTTCCCAACCCAGGGATTGAAATCATGATTCTTGCATCTCCTGCATTAGCAGATGGATTCTTTACCACTAACACCACCTGGGAAGTTCCATCTATCCACTCATTTTTTTAGATTCTTTTTCTATATAGGCCATTACAGAGTACTGAGTAGCGTTCCTTGTGCTATACAGCAGGTCCTTATTAGTCATCTATTTTATATACAGAAATATGTGTCAGCCAATCCCAGTCTCCCAGTTAATACCCCCCGACCCTTTGGAATCGTAAGTTTGTATTCTACATCTGTAACTATTTCTGTTTTGTACCTTTATTTTTTTGATTTCACATATAAGTGATATCATAAGATATTTGCAGATAATATGAAAAATATTAATTATAAAGAGGCTGTGTAGGTCAGACTTATAAGTATTCACAGCACAACATCGTTAACAATTAATGCAGCATCCATTCAATGTATGACTGCCTGATTATTAAGTCAATCAGGATACAACTAGAGACAGAAGAAGTTTCTGGTAAAATCAGGTTACCTGTTCAGTTTTCCTACAAGTACTTCTGGTTCCAGAAAAGAAAAAAACTGGTCACCCAGTTTGATCCTACAGATTCTTGGTTGCAAACTTTCAAAGGGTAAGCTCCGGGTGAAGATATGGTTCAAGGCACCTTCTATGTGAAAGGACTTATCTTGACTCCTGGCAAAATAGCAGTTATTAAGTCTGTCACTGTTAAAGAAAGCAATTATTCCTAAAGGCTGAATCAAGAAATTAGCGAGAAAAAGTGTCAATGGGATTTTTTATCAGTAGTGAGAGAGATGAAAAAGCTTAGATCTCTGTTATTACCTACCTATATCCAGTGCACTTGTACCCTGGCACAGCCTCACAGCTGAAGGGATGCACATCACTTAAAATGAAACCCCCCAGAGCAGCCATAGCAACCACTTGCCAACTGTTGTGCCATTCTCTCATTGGCTTATCAGCAGGAGTCCCACCTTGTCCTCTACATAATGCCACATGGATTTCTCCGTCCTCTGCAAGAACATCTGCACAGCTAAAGGGGATAAGGAAACACCAATCATTTACCAGAAACAAGTAGGAGTCAGCTGTATATACATGGTTTGTCTGTGAGATAATTAAAATCCAATCATATCTATTTGCAAAGATCTATTAAGACTTCAAACATGCAAAAAAAGGAGCTGGAAGCAAGTAAGAACTTAAATTCAATGCTCAACTCATAACTAATACTAGGGGCTGACCAGAAAGTTATCCAGCTTCACATTGCTATTGTTCACCTATATTTCATTGAAAAGTCAATGTCTATAAAATTCCTAGATGTGATTCAGTAATCAGGCTGTTCTTTCCCATTTAGAAAGCTGTCCGTTCCACTCCCCTCCTGCTTGTAAAAATTTTACTTGTACTTGAAAGACTAACTTAAAACACTGCCTCTGTGCAAAGTTTCATGATAACTATGTTTCATGTTTTGGTATAATAGTATAAAGCACTGTTTTAAGTTCACAATAATTGGATGAGGTAGTTATGTTAATATCTTCATTTACGGATGAGGAAGCAAAAGCAAATTAGGATCAAGGAGACAATCACAAAAGCCACAAAGCTCTTAAGTGGTGGGTGGGGATTTGAATGCAGATAGTTGGGCTCCTAAATTAGTCTATACTGGCTACTGTCATTTTGCATTATCAAAAATAGGTGATCCTCCCTTTTCTGGCCCAATAGTACATGTTTGCATTTGTACTTAGCATTTAGGGTTAAATGTCTGCCTCTCCAATTAGACTGTGGGTTCCTTTGGAGCAACACGTTCTCTTGTATGTCCTATTTCCCACAGTAACATGTCTGAGAGCAGGAACTATGCAATGTACATCTTAAACATTTCACTTGTGAGTGCTCAGCTCTCCTCACCTCCGGAAAAACTTGGCAAGCAGTTCCCTGTTCTTAGCTACTCCAGCTTTGCGCCCACAGTGCGGAAAGTTAAAATAAATTAGATCAAATTCTCTGTCTTGCGGTTCAAAGGCATCTGCCAGGTGGGTGCAGTCCACACCGAAGCGTACCTCGTTACCTGGCACGAAATATAGACAGAAGGATGTGATAAAGCCATGGAAGAAGAGAAAAACCCTGCCTAACACAAGGTGCAAAACAGCCCAAGTCCAGGCACACAGCAGGCTGTCTGTAAATGTCCATGGGAAGATGAAGTGAGTGTGTGCTAAGTCGCCTTGGTCCAGTCAGACTCTTTGAGACCTTATGGACTGTAGCCGGCCAGACTCCTCTGTCCAAGTGATTCTCCAGGCAAGGATACTGCAGTAGGGTGCCATGCCCTTCTCCAGGGGATCTTCCCCACCCAGGGATCGAACCCTCACCTCTTACGACTCTTGCACTGGCAGGCGGGTTCTTTACCACTAGAGCCACCTGGGAAGCCCCGGGGAAGACCAAGAGCAACGGCCAAGTTCCCTGAATCCCCACTGTTCCCACCCTTTCCACTCTGGGGGGCGCCACAGCTGGGCGGGGCTTCGTAGAGGGCTGGGCTTCGCTACCTCGCTCGCGCAGGCGCTGTAGGTTCTCTTGGGCCACCAGATCCTGGGCCAGGTCCGCTGGGCGCTGGGGACAGGTGGCGGTTAGACTGGTGTTTGGATCCAGGGTCTCACTCAGAGCGACGGCAAAAGAGAAATTCCCCTCCCCAACCAACAGGAGGCGCCGCGGGGCCATGGCCCCCACGTGCTCCCGTCTCAAGTTCTCCGAGGCGCTCTTTTTTTACGTCACTTCCTTCGCGAGTCTCTTGTGGCCCCACTTATTCACGCGTTGCTGGTTGATGACGCGTCACAGCGTCTGGTTGTCTTGGCAAACTGGGGCCGCGACGTCCCGAGTGGGAAAATAGCCATGAGAGCAAGAGCGAGACACCGGCCACCCAGTCCCCTCACTCCCTCACCCCATCGGAAGTGTTAAATGCTTTTGAGCCCAAGGGCGGCCCTGAGCGACCTCGTCACACCTGCCTGAGGGTCTTGAGCAGTCACTAGCCTCGGGGGTGGGGGGGTGGAGGGGAAACAGGTCGAAGGTGAAGTGAGTTCTGAGTGAAGGAAGCAGGGCCGGGCTGAGGCCAAGGAGAGATGGTGCTGTGTTCTGCATCCTGACTCAGAGGATTTTGTAACAGCCTTCATCTCATCCGACATGACTGCAACCGATTATCATTGTTATTCGGAGTTTTTCCAGGTGCTTCTTTCCCCTACCTTGTATGCATTCAAGAAGTGTTGAGTGTCTGTTATGTCCCAGGCCTATATATGGAGGAACAGATTGTGGCCTATGACTTCTCTGAGCTTGTAGTGTGGTGGAGGATTCCCGGCGAAAGAGACAATTCTGCTATAGTGAGATGCAGTACCATGAATGGAGTTATTCAGGTCGCTGAGGAGCACACTGAAGAGGACCCTTACCAAGTTTGGGGATGAAGTGGAAAGATTTTGTGGCTGAAGTGCACCTGAGTTGAAAGCTAAGCGGGGGGGGGGGTACACCTTAGCTGAGTCAGGAGGACTGAAAAAGGACTGTTCTGTAGCAATAAATGCAAAAGCATGATGATGGAAAAACACAGTAGCTGAGTTTGAAATGTAGTCTGAGGGAGAGTGGATAACAGATGAGACTGAAAAGCAGGGACCAGATCATATAGGCATTTTTTTACAGCCTGAACCTTAGTCTGAAACCAGTGGCCAGCCACTGAAAGATTTTTAAGTAGGGAGATGACACAATTAGATTTTCATTTTTAAAAATTCTGCTTTCCTATGGAGAAAGGATAGGAGAAGAACAAGGTTGGTGGCAAGGAGTCCAGATAGAAGGCTACTGCAGTAATGGAGACTAGGGCTGAAAGTGATCTGAATTGAAGCTTGGTAGTGGAGATGGAGGGTAGTGCACTGATTCAAAAATCGACAAGACCTAGTGATTGAATAGATGTAAGGGACTTGAAAGAGAAACCAAGAGTCAAAGATAAGCCCCAGGTTTCAGGTTTGGACAACTAAGTGGGTGGGGATGTCTGTCCTTAACAGCCCCAGGGACAGTGTCGTCTTGATCTGTAGTCTGAGTCCTTGGCCTGTTGGACTTTGTGGGACCAACTGCTCTTAGTGGCCATGCTGTTTGTTGACATAAGTGCATGCATCTGTCTTCACAAAGGCCCATGACATGCGGGCAGTTACCTTTAAACTTACAGTGTTGGCTTAGTCTCTAGCTGTGGAAAGGTGGGTGGGTGATGACTACCAAATCATGGCCACCTGGTGATCTGGGCGATCTAAATTCTTTCTTTGCCTGGAGAACTGGGAAGGCCAGGTTTAGTGTCATCTCTTCTTTTAAAGAATATGGAATGTCAGAGTAAGGTTTGCTGTTACTCTGCTATAAAATCTTCAGTCACAAGCTCCTCAACTTCAAAGTATTCATCTTCAGAGAAGGTATTGTCTTGCTCCTAAGCCAAGGAACCAGACTGAACTTTTAACCAAAATTAGAAATGGTTAGGCTTTTGATTCCTTACCCAAAAAGTTGAAATTCAGACATTGGTTATCTGGTATGTGCAAATTACTATTGATTGGGAGGGTATACAGAGGGAGAGGGTGCAGTAATGAAAAAGTGACAGATCTTGTCCTCAAGGGATGCATAGTTCAGTGTAAAAGATTCCACACTTCCTTGAAGAACTCTAACATGTGGTATAAAGTTATGGATATATAGAAGTGGGAAGTATGAAAGAAGTTAACTTGAGGTAAGGCATCATGAAAAGGGAACGCTGTATCCTAAGATGTGGCATTTGAGCTGGGCTGAAAGGAAGGAAACCATCATTTGTTGATCATTGATCTATCATATTATCTAGTTATCCAGCTCTCACTTCTCTCTCTTCTCTTTGATGATAGCAGTACTTATTCCTTACATTCTTACACCTCAAAATCACCAGAATATTTTCTAGTTATCCAATAGTATTAGGGTACTGAAGTTCTCTTATCTTTTGGGGAGGTGCATTTAATCTATTTAGTCATCTACTACTGCTGATTGAGAGGGTAGGTCAAAGAATTTATGAACTTGGAAAGAAACAGGACGATAACTATTAAACTGAGAGGAAAGCCTAGAACTTTAGAAGGTGTACTTACGCTTGGCCAAGGACGAGAAAGGGATGTGTTGTCTGCTTTCTGGTTTGTGCAACAAACTTTTCTATTGCCACCTTTTCCCAGAGACAGGTCCTTGCCTGTTTCCTTACAAACCCACACTATGGCAGCCTCATTAACGCAAATGGCCATGCTGAAGTGTGGACGGATTGGAATGACATGTCCAAGTTTTTCCAGTATGGATGGAGATGCAACACTAATGAAGATGCCTATTCAAACCGTACCTTGATGGGCAACTGGAACCAGGAAAGATATGACATAAAGAATATTGTGCAGCCCAAACCCTTGCCTTCCCAGGTAATTGAACTTTCTCTTCTTTGTTTTCTTCTGTTAGCAAAAGAAATACCAATGGCCATTTGAGAAACAGGAATCTGATAACTTCCAATGCTGAGATCTTTCAGGCTTCTGTTCAGTGAATGGTTGGAAGAGGGCAGCAGTTCTCAGGTGAAACACTTATCCCACTTTACTATCAAGCTGAATATTATGTTATTGTAAGGCTTCCCAGGTGGCTTGGTGGTAAAGAATCCGCCTGTCAGGCAGGAGACACGGGTTCAGTCCCTGGGTCAGGAAGATTCCCTAGAGAAGGAAATGGCAACCCACTCTAGTATTCTTGCCTGGGAAACCCCACGGACAGGGGAGCCTGGCAGGCTATAGTCCATTGGGTTACAAAGAGTTAGACATGACTTAGCTACTAAACAACCGCAAGGTAATAAAAGGATGAGCATCATGCTTCTCTGTGGACTTCATTAGTCTACAGAAATATTTATATAATGTCTTCTGATTCAGGTTAGTTTCTCCTCTGGTCCCTGCCAGCTAGATTTGTCATTTATCTTTATCTTGCCCTGAAATCTCCTAAACAAACATACACAGGATATAAAGATTGGTAGGATATAGGTTAATGACATGTATAAATCTCTAGTCAATCTAAAATATTATAGAGGCTGCTAGAATTTATGCCATTGTGTCCCTTATTTCCCAGCTTTGGCTATAGACACCCGTATTTTTAAACTACTCCATTTTCTTTCCAGTTTGGACACTACTTTGAAACAACATATGATACAAGCTACAACAACAGAAGACCACTTTCAACCCATAGTAGGTGACCTATTCTTTTTAATTCTTATCACCTCAGAAGGAACACAAAGAAAATTTAAATGAGTGAATGATTTCTCTCTTTTCTCAGCTTTGACAGGTTTCACTGCATATTCGCTCAGAAATAACAGAGATTACTTACTAAGACTCCTCTTTTTTTCTTCCCTCAGGGTTTAAGCGAGAGCCTCACTGGTTCCCAGGACATCAACCTGAGCTGGTTCCTCCTCCATACAAATGCACAGAAAAGTCAATCTACATGAGTAGTTATTCAAAGCCTCAAATTGATCATCACTCTGTGTGTGTGTGGAATCCTAGCAACTGCCGGTTTCAGAGTCCATGATTCTAAGAAAGAATAGGTTTCATTTTTCCAGTGTAGAATGTGGGAGGGAGCCCATTCTAAGCACAACTAAGAATTTAGCTGACTGTAGCACAGTTTTACTATCTGAATAAATAAAGCCCAACAAATATTCTCTACCCCCACTTTTTTAAACCAAGAAATGTCAAATTTAAGTTAAGTATATTTATTCATTATGGGTGTTGTAGGACAGCATTGAAAAGAGTTATTTCTTTCAAATCTACAACCCCTCTGCTCTTCCCTGCCTTCCACGAGGGGCAGAGCTGCAAAATCCATCCTGACTTAGGCTGCATTTGCCTAGATGCTTTCTGGTTGTAAGCCTGGTGGTCATGGTCAGAAAAGTTATATTTACTATCACCCTAATGGATATCCCCTCTTAAGGACCAGAAGAAGAAATATAACTATTTTTATTAATATGGAAAATTTGAAACATAAAAAAATAGACAAGAGTAGTATAATGAACTCCCATGAACCATTACCCAGCTTCAACAATCGATGACCAATCTTATCTATCCCTGTTTACTTTCTCTATTTTTAAATTTTTCTCTGAAATTATATGATTTCATCCATAAATATTTCAGTTTATATCTCAAAAAGATAAAGACTCAATTTTTGACTCCCTGACAAAGATCGCCAAATAAAACTGCTGATCAGACAAAGCTGAGTTGTTTATTAAACCTGTGACAAGGAAGAACCTCAGCTTGACACAGTCTTGGTAATGATTCAGAAAGGTGATGTTAGGGTAGGATACTTTTAGGAATTTGGGATGATTCAGCCGGTTTAAGATGGGCCTTTCATTGTGAGGAACTGGCTACAATTGAGAAAAGATTGTGAATAGCTTAGGGTTGGTGAGAGGCAATAGTCTTAACATCAGTACATTCCTTTTTTTTTTTAATCTCCTATTTAAGATGACAATCTTCATTATTTTTTGAAACAGGTATGAATATGGAATTTATGTTGTACATGATGTTAGGTAGTGACTAAGTTTTGTTTATTTCTGTATGGCCCATGTTAGTTATTAAAAAGACCATACTTTCTTCACTGCTCTTCAAAGCCATTTTTAATATAAATCAACTGTCTGTGTATACTTGGGTCTGTTTCTGGCCTCTCTTTTATATTCCATTAGCCTAACTTGTTTTTTATTTAATCCCATCTTAGGTATAATGCCTTAATTACCTCACTATCTTAATTATGATAATTGTATAAATCTTAACATCCAGTAGATCAAATTGTTTTACTTTGTCTTTCTGGAAGAGCACCTTAGCTGTTTTTGATCCTTTGCATTTCCATGTAAATTTTAGAATCAATTTGCCAAGTTCCACTAAAAGATAATTAGGATGTTGATGGAAATTGTATTGTTTGATGGCATTGTATTGTTTGATCAACTATAGAATTTGAATTATTATCTCTTACTAATATTAATAATTCATTGGTGTATATTTTGCAGTATGAATATTTTATAGACACATGTTTTAAGTTTATATGTTATGTGTCTATCCTACTCCCAAGGTGTCCAGTGCATTTTTTATTGTGATAAAATATAAAATGTACCATTTTAACTGTTTTTAAGTATACAATTCAGTGGCATTAAATACATGCACAGTGTTGTGCAACCGTCACCACCGTTTTCAGAACTTTTTCATCATTACAAACTGAAACTCTATACCAGTTAAGCAACAATTCCTCATTCCCCTCTTCTCCTGTCCCTGGTAACCTCTATTCTGTTTTCTGTATGAATTTGCCTGTTCTAGGTACCTCATATAAGTGGAATCATACAGTGTTTTTCTTTTTGTCTCTGGTTTATTTCACTTAGTTTGTTTTCAAGTTTCATCCATGTTACAGCATGTGTCCTTTCTAAGACGTCTATTGGATGATACCCCATTTTACTTCTCTGTTCTTGTCAGTAGACACTTGGGGTGTTTTCATCTTGCGGGTAGTGTGGCAGCTGCTGCAGTGAGCATCTCTGTGCTGTGTCTGTGCTTATTCGCTTAATGTTGTCTGACTCTGCGACTCCATGGACTGCAGCCCGCCAGGCTCATCTGCCCATGGTGATTCTCCAGACAAGAACACTGGAGTGGGTTGCCATGCCCTCCTCCAGGAGATCTTCTCAACCCAGGGATCGGACCCAGGTGTGTCCCGCATGGCAGGTGGATTGGATTCTTTACCAGAAGAATCCCTGAGCCACCAGGGAAGCTATGAACATTGGTGCACAGCTACTTGTTCGAATCCCTGCTTTTGATTATTTTGGGCATGTACCCATAAGTGGAATTGCCGCATCATATGGTAATTCTATTTAACAGTTTGGAAATGCCACAGTTTCCCATAGTGGCTGCACTTTTTTACATTCCCAGTGGTAATGAATACACAAGGGTTCCAATTTCCCCACGTCGTTACCAACACATATTTTCTGGTGTTTTGTCTGTTCGTTCTCATTTGATAGTAGCCATCCTGGTGGGTGTAAAGTGGTCCCTCCTGGTTTTGATTTGTATTTTCCTCATGGCTAGTGGTCTTGAGCATCGTTTCATGTGCTTTTCAGTTATCTGTATGTTGTCTGTGGAGAAATGTTTATTCAAGTCCTTTGTTCCATTTTTAAAATAATTTTATTTATTTTTTGGCTGTGCTGGGTCTTGGGTCTTTGCTGCTGCACAGGCTTTTCTCTAGTTGCGTCATGTTGGGGCTGCTCTTTAGTTGCAGTGCAGTCTTATTGCAGCAGCTTCTCTTTTTGCTGAGCACAGGCTTTACAACTCGTGGGCTTCAATAGTGGCAGTGCAAGGGCTCAGTAGTGTGGTTCCTGGGCTCTAGAGTACTGGCTCAATATTTGTGGTGCACAGGCTTAACTGTTTCACGGCATGTAGAGGTCTTCCCAGACAAGAGATTGAACCTGTGTCTCCTGCATTGGCAGGCAGATTCTTTACCACTGCTTTGCTCATTTTTGAGCTGGGTTGTTTGCTTTTTTGTTGTTGAATTGTAGATATTCTTTATGTATCTTTATATATTTTGGATATAGATCTCTATAATCAACTACTATATGATTTGCAAATATCACTCTTTGGGTTCTTTCATTCCCTTGTTAGTGTCCTTTGATAGATATACAAAAGTTTTCAATTTTGATGAAGTTGAGTTTATCTGGTTTTTTTTATTGCTTTTGGTGTCATATCCAATAAATCATTGCTAAAGTCAATGTCATGAAACTGTCTATGTTTTCTTCTAAGCTCTTATGATTAGGTGTTTGATTCTCTTTGAGTTAATGTTTGTGTATTATGTAAGGTAAGATCTAATTTCATTCTTTTGCACATGGATATACAGTTTTCCCAGCACCATGTGTTGAAAAGACTGTCCTTTTCCTGTTAAATGGTCTTGATATGTTTGTCAATAATCATTTGACTGTATTTGTGAGGGATTATTTCTGGGCTCTCTATTCTTTTCCTTGGTCTATGTCTGCCTTTATGCTAATACCACACTTTTTAAATTATTGTAGTTTTGTAATAAGCTTTGAAATCAGAAAGTGTGAATCTTCCAAGTTTGTTCCTCTTTTTCAAGATGCTTTTGTCTATTTCAGGGCTCTCTGAGATCTCATGTGAATTTTAGGGTGGAATTTTCTACCTCTGCAAAAAAATATATTGAAATTTTGATAAGAATTGCTTTGAATCTGTAGGTCACTTTAGCTAGTATTAATTTCTTAACAGTATTAAGCCTTCCAATCCATGAACATAGATGACTTTCCATTTCTGTCTTCTTTACTTTAGCGATATCTTTTACTTTTTAATGTACAAGTTTTTTGCCTCCTTAGTTGAAGTTATTCTATATATTTTATTCTTTTTGATGCTACTGTAAATGAAATTGTTTTCTTAATTTCCTTTTTCATTATTCATTGTTAGTGTATAGAAATGCAACTGATTTTTTTTTTCTTCCATTTATTTTTATTAGTTGGAGGCTAATTACTTTACATCGTTACAGTAGTTTTTGTCATACATTGAAATGAATTAGCCATGGATTTACATGTATTCCCCATCCCGGTCCCCCCTCCCACCTCCCTCTCCACCCGATCCCTCTGGGT